GGAGCAGGGAGCCCGATGTGGGGCTCCATCCCAGGACCCTGGCATCATGACCTGAGCCGAAGGCAGATGCTTAACAACTGAGCCACCCAGGCACCCCAATCTTCGAAATTTAAAAGAAAATCTGTGAAGTTACGCCTGTCAATAAAACAATTTCGTGAACAGAGGGCAAATTTTTCAATTGGAAATACATTATTCAATTAGTTAAAATCAGTTAAAATTGATGAAAATTTTTAGAGTTTTAAATTTTTTTGGTAGTGCAAATGATTCACTTCTATATTTAGTTTCCTATTTGTGGGCACGATATAATGAAAGCTGAAGAAACTTACTTCAGTTTTCTTTTTAAAAAATCTGTATTACTTTCTAAACATTTCCCATTCATTAAAGAGCATGCAACTGCTCCTTTTCTGTTTCCTAACAGTGGCAAATTATTCTACTTAGTAACTCTACCTTATTTCATAACAAGTTATTAGAAGGTTGAGTTTAACAACTTTCACACTTACTTCTCCAGTTCCTCCTGTGAGTGTGCAAACGTACAGCTGGCCCCACGAGGGCATCCTCCCCTCTGCTTCATATCTCGACACATGTATGTTTTATATTTGCTATGCTGTGGAGGCTGAGACCAAAGTTAAAACATTAGACACCGATTCAAACTAACTCACACAATTAACTAGACTGCCCAGAGCAAGTGTTAGAAAGCCATTCTGTCTGAAGTCTGAGTCCAAAAATAAATTAATTATAAAGAATGGGGTCCTGATTTTTTGATATATTGGCACTAATTCTCAAACATGTAGCATCATATAAATCCTAGATTAAATCTCACGACGGCTTTATCATTTTCTTTCCAGGTTTATAATGGACAAACAAACCACTGGAGTTTAGGGCTTTCCAATGTTTAATATGTGTTCTAATATTTGTTTTGGACAATGTTTAGTATAGCTATATTTACAATTAGAGTTTCCTATGACACAACACGAATCTATAGTAGGCTCTATAAATGAAAAATACTCTGTAACCAATTCTTGATATGCAGAAGAACATATCAAGACATACAGTAACTCTAAAAGTACAAATGAAACTATTATTTTCTAGTATAAGACAGGAGGATGGACTTGGGAGTTAACGAGATATCAAACACAATACTAAGCTAAATGAAATTTGATTACCTATCGATTTGATTACCATTTTATCACCTATCGACAGAGCTTAAAAAATTAATCTTATTGTTACATTCTTCATGATGTCTAATAGAACATGGAGTTAAAAATAAGTTTTTAATCTTTTATTTCTTATCATAAAATAAAGTCTGGTCTATGCTTAGATAATTTAGGAAAACTGTATCCATATTATTCTACTCAGCAGGATACTTTCTTTAAAAAAAGATTTTATTTTTAAGTAATACCCAACGTGGGGCTTAAACTCACAACCCTTAGATCAAGAGTCGCATGTTCTACCAAGTCAGCCAGGTGCCCCCCTACTCAGCAGGATACTGAGTGGAACTTAATGTTTCTTGCCTCTCAAAGAAAAAAGAAATATTGAATAATCTATTGTTAATAGATTAATTTATTATAAATTATTTAATTAATCTGAACCAGATAAATTAATAACAATGTTTTAATTTCACAAGCTTACTATTGCAAAATAAAAGATCTAGTGAACCTAACATAAATCACGAGGGCAAAATAAAGTTATTGGGAATAAAATGAAAAACTGTAGTCATACCATAAGCTATTACGTTTTACTGTCATATATTTCATTTAAAAGTATTTGAGGAAAATTCGGCCCTCTTGCACAGCAGACATTATATGAATGAATGAAAAATGTTAAAATACTACTACAAAAAAAGCATTTATACAAATATATGAACAGTACTGGACAGATACAGCATTAAAAAGTGATATATATTGTCAAACTAAAATGTAACAGTAACCAAAGAGAATCATTTTACTTAACATAGAACCTTTAGCACAGAATCAAATGCTGCTATATATCTAAAGTGAAAAATGACTCCAGTGCAACATTAGACCCACAGGATTATTTCATTCCATTGTTGCCAGATAAAATCACTACACAAATCCATTAAACTGGGTGTAAACCATATTAAAGTAATTTATAGTTTCTATAGTCAGAGTCTCAAAATATTCATGTCATCTTGTTGGTTTTGTTTGTATCTGTCGTAACATCCACAGTGGCTTACTTCTAAGTTTCCAACTTCCCCCTTACCTGCTGTTGATCTGCTCCCTTTTTGCTATGGTTCTGGATATAGTCTACTAGCCCATGTACCACAGTCCGCACAGCAACCAGTCCATTTTCCAGCTGCTCCCAAGTAGGAGGAGGAGCATCTACACAACAAATCAAAAAACTTTTTAAATGATGTTGTTCAATATTTTGCCCAATATTATTAAACTAACAAAAGGGTTAGTGTCAGCCCTTCAGTGAAATCAAGTTAGGCTTCATACAGCTTTTCAGGTAATAACGTATTCACCTAAACATCATTTTAAAGAATGGATTGTAAAGTAAAATAACTACAGGGACAGGGAAGGTAGCATAAAGAAATTATGTAGGCCAGACAATAAATGGCAATCACCATTAGACACTCAGCGCTGGGAATGATGACAGAGAGACAGAGACGGGGTCTGTGCTGAACTGTAGAGTGTGGCCCACATCTAAGGTTATGGTTACTATTCATCTATAGCTGATTGCCGTTACGTGATGATGCAAGGCTGGCACTCCAGATACACCGCTGTTTCCCAGGGAAAACTAAAATTTAAGATTTTCATGTAAAATTACCCAATTTCAAGTTTTACCTAAAAAATTTAGAATATTGTGCAGACCAACACTGTGTGGACCAAACAAAACTTAACTGTGGACTAGCCAATTTGTAATGGCCATTTTGAAATTCTGCATAAATGAAGTTTTGGTAAACAGAATGTTTAAGAAGTCTGAATGAATAGAAGAGTCACTATATAAAGCAACTCTGCTATATATCCTCTTCATTTAATATTTGTCTAGTGTCAGTGCTGTGATTTTATAAAGGAAAAGTTAACCACAAATATGAAATATTCTCTAGGAGAAAATATAAAAAGAGCTGAGAACAAAAACATAGAGATGAATTCCTCTTGGAGACACTCTGAGAGGCTTCTAGGTGATGGCTGTGAATGAGGCTTTGAAGGACTTCCACTTGTGAGTTTCACTTGGAAAAAAAAAAACTAAGATATAGAGAGGGTGAAGAGAACAGTCATATAAAAAAGTAGTTTGGAACACCTACTAAGTCCCAGGTATTGTTCTAGTTGCTAGGGAAGCAACAGTGATCAAAACAAAAAACCATTATATCCAAGGAGAGGAGACAGACAATAAATAAGATAATTGAAATATAAACAATTTACATAATGATGACTTGAATAAATAGAGCAAAGAAAGGGAGTGGGACTGATATGTATAAAATTTTAGACTGGGTGGCCTGAGAATGTCTCCTTGAAAAGGTTACATTTGATTAAAGACCTGAAAACAGAAGGGGAATGAGTGTGCCTTGTGGATATATTAGGAAAAAAATGGTTCTAGGAAAAGAGAAGAATAAGTGGAAAGGCCCTGATGTGGGAATATGCCGGGCATGTTCCACGGAGGTCAAACTGGAAAGGAATGAATTAGGTAGAAAAGAATAGGAAATAAGCTTAGAAAGAGGTAAAGAACCCCAGATCACGTGAGGCTTGGTAGGTCATAGGAAAGATTTTCGCTTTTACTGACCAACAGAAAGCACTGGAGATTTTTTTTCAAGATTTTATTTATTTATTTTTAGAGAGCGAGTGAGAGAGCACGCGTGTATGCGAGCGGGGAAAGGGGGAGAATCTGAAGCCGACTCCATGCTGAGTGTGGAGCCCAACCCAGGGCTCAATCAGTTCTGGAGAATTTTTGAGCAGACGGGTAACAGGATCACTCTAGTTCTTATGCTAAAACCAGACAGACAATAGGAGGCTATTCTGTAATCCCTGAAGAGAGATGAGTATAGTAGCAGTGAAGGTGATAAGCAGATGGATTCTAGATGGATTTTAAAGGGAAGGGCCTACAGGGTATGCTATTGGATCAGATGTACCACATGTGAGAAAGAAGAGTTGAAGAGATCTCCAAGGTGTTTGAACTGAGGAAATGAAATGGAAGGTTGTAGTTGCCACTAAAAGGAATGGGAGGTGGGGTTAGGGCAGTGTTTGGAACTCACTTTTGGACAGATTAAGTTTGAAATTCTTTTTTTTTAAAAGATGTTTTAATTTATTCATTTGAAAGAGAGAGACAGACAGAGCACAAGCAGGGGAGAGGCAGAGGGAGAGGGAGAAGCAGACTCCCCACTGAGCTGGGAGCCCGATGTGGCCCTCGATTCCAGGACCTGGAGATCCATGACCTGAGGCGAAGGCAGACACTTAACCATCTGAGCCACCCAGGTGCCACTAAGTTTGAAATTCTTACTAGATATTCAAGTAGGCCTGCTGGATGTTGAGCAGGCAGGTGGATATACAAAAGAATTCAGGAAGAAGTTTTGGGCTGATATACTACATGTTTCACAGATTCTAAATCAACTGCAACATACACCATTATTTTATGTGCCACCAAAATAAAAAAGATTGTTAATTAAATTACACATCATTACTTACATAGATGCATCCCAATTTCAGAAATGCTAAGATCAAAAGAAATGTGGACTTCAGAACTGATGAAATATAGTAAATTTGTGAGTCATGTAAATAATATTTAAAGCTATGAGACTAGATGATATTATCTAGGGAATGGGTATAATTAGAAAAGAGATACATGTATTAAACTCTGGGAGCAATCCAAAAGTGCGAGGGTATGGAGATGAGAAATTAGCAAAGAAGGCTCAGAGGAGGGTCCAATAAAATGAGAATGAAACTCGGAAAGTCAAGTGAAAAAAGTGTTAAGAGGATCAGAAAGTGAACAACAACATTAAATGCTGCTAACAGGTCAAATAAATGAGAACCAAGAACTGATGTCTGGATTTAACTTCATGGAAGTCACCTGTGACCTTGACAGAACCGTTCTGGTTGACAGTAGAGATAAATGCCTGATTGGAGTGAGTTCGAGAGCATGTTTAAAAAAAAAAAAGAAAGAAAGAAAAATAGTAGTAGGTGGATGGCAAATGTTGTCCAAGTGGGTTATGATGACAGGAGTAATAGGATGTTTGTATGTTGACAGAAATACTCCAGTAGAGAAGGAAACTTGATGATATAAGAAACAGAAGTGATATGAAGTGATATACTTGACAAGATGATATTAGGAACATGAGAAGGGAGAAGGGCCTGAGCTTAGAGGTACAGTTTATCCACTGTTAGACAAGGACTGCAGACTATATTGGCACAGATACAGATAAACAGGTTGGTGGTTGATGGGGTGGTGAACTTCTGGAAGTGCTCTTTTGATTCCTCAGAATGAGCAAAGCACAATAGTGAAAAAAGAAAAATGTCGACTATATTCTAGGAATACATCTGACCTGGTTTGAGTAAGCAATTTTGATAATAAAAAAATTTTTTTAAGATTTACAGAGAGAGCACACAAGCAGTGGGAGCAGTAGAGGGAGAGGGAGAAGCAGGCTCTCCGTTGAGGAGGGAGCCCAGTGCGGGGCTCGATCCCAGGACCCTGACATCATGACCTGAACCGAAGGCAGACACCTAACTGACTGAGCCACCCAGGTGCCCCATTGATAGTAAATTCTATAAAGGTAGATTGATAAAAAAAAATAAAATAAAAAATTAGAGGGCCCTGGAATGCCACTGTCAGGAGTTCCAAACCTTATTCAATAAGCAATGGGGTGTCACTGAAAGTTTATGAGCACAGAAATAAGATCAGAGATGTGATTTATTTTGCAGCAGTAAGTGGGCTGGACTGTAAGAATTGAGAGTAGAGGAAAATGGAAGGCATCCAGTCTCAGGTAAAATAAGGCCCTCACCAATGCAGTATTAACCAGCATGGGATAGAGGGATATTGTGAAAGAACAGATAGATCCTATTGTCTGAAATGGTATGTAGAGCAAGTAAAAGGAAAAGATACAAGCTAAGACAAGAGACTCGGGTTTTAAGTGTAAATACGTCAGACAATGAGGTCATTTAACAGAGAACACAGGAGGACGAGCTGGAATCAAGTGAAGAAGAATTTGCTTTGAAGATCAGAGATGATGAAGACTCTCAGAAAGCATTTGGGAAAGTAAGTCTGGAGTGATGAAGAGACAACAATGATAGAGATATCTGGGAATCTATTTTCTACAGAAAGTGATACCCAATGAATGACCTGAATCATCAACAGAATGCAAAAAAACCAAAATTCCAAGAACACAACTGGCCTACTCCTTAGCGGGCAGGAGGGAAGAGTGGTCAAAATAAGACAGAAGGAGCATTTAGACAAGTCAGAAGGAAACTATGAGAGTACAGAAAGATAAGGTATCAGGAGAGTTTCTATATTGAGGAATTAGCCGACAACATTATCAAATGCTAAAGAGAAATCAAGTAATTTGAGGACTGAGAAACCGCCTTTGGAATTCGAAACTGGGAAATTACTTGTGAATATTAGGAGTTTTTTTAGCTCAGGTGCAGGACACAAGCTAAAAATACCTTAGATGTGAAAAATGAAAGTTGGGTGATTTTCAGGTCAAGGGCAAGGAGCAAGAAAAGGGTTGACAAAGTAAAAATATGCAAGAGAGGATACTTGATGAATTAGACATTATCATCACAGAGTGGGGGAAAAAATGGGACCAAGAAAATGCAACTAAGGACATAGGATACAGAAAAAATTAGAGAACCTGTGTTTTGTCAAAACAGATGAGAATAGTAAATACAGCACAATTCTGTGATATGGGAAGGATCCCAGAGTGAATCTACTTCCCTGGTGAAGTGAGCAGGAAGTACAAAGGTTTTAAATAAATACTGGTTGAAGCAATAAACAGATAGATGGACAAGGTTGGGGCAGAAACTTAAATACTGTGTAAATGGGAAATTCTCAAGGAATGTAACAAAAGATAATTAATTAAAAGAATCACTGAGCAGCACTGAGGCACTCATAGGACAGTCCATTAATTTCCCTTGGGTTTATTTACCTGGACTAGGGTCAATGTTTGCCAATAGCTCCAAATGGGGTCTTAGTCGGTTCAAATTTGCTGGATCTCCAGTTCGCTGGAGAGCAATTGTTAGTTCCTGAACACTTTGTGCAAAAGAGGCTGGGGTCTGCAACTTAAAAACGATAAATATTAACTTTCCAAAAACCAGCTAATCCTTTTAAAGTAAAGATTATTTACAATATTGCAATCATTTTTGCAACTTATTATATTTAATTTTATCCTCCCACACATTCCAGGCTTTGGCCAAACCGGATTACTGGTGCCTGAGTAAACCCTGCACTTCCCTGCATTCACAGCTTGGCAGATTGTAAACTCTCTTCCCTCTGATGGCACATTCCTCAAATGTGAGCCCTTTCTCAATTCCTCAATTTGGAAGTATACTCTTTCTGTCTTAATGTTCTTAGAGCACTATATTAGTTTGGCTCTTGGAGTGCTTCCAAAGAACTGAAATTTGGAGTCTAGAGATAACACTATACAATACCAAGAACAATGAAACTGAACTCAGTCAAACTGAGCTTGAGTTCAAGTTTTGTTAGAGACCATAAATCATGACACCGGATATAATCTTTACGGACTCAATCGAAGTCCATCTGTGATATGGACTAAATAATTTCCAAAGTCCACTCCAGCTCAAAAATAATCTTATAATGGTTTGGGATTCTTGGAAGCTATCAGGCTGTATATTTTCCTCAAGCTTAATTAATGACACACTTTCTTACATTAACTCCCTAAGAGGCCCTACATATAGGACCTTTAATAGGGGGAAATTGATTAGATTATAGTAACTAAAGGTGCTTACTTGGAAACATTTAGCTCTCTATGCAGTTTATTAATATAGATGAGACCCTAAAAGGTCACTCTTTAAAAGGTAATTTTTTTTAAAAAAGCATACATTTTAAAAAACATGAGAAATAACCATTCAAAGGCTAACATGCCTTTATTCAATTTTTCATCTTTGCATGCTTTTTATAAACTTAAAATCATTTACACACTTATGGTTTTGGCTACCATTAATATTATAACAAAAGCATTTTTCTACTGCTAACCATTTTTATTATGAAATATTTTAAAGTGTCTAATATAATGACAACACCCATGTATCCATCACTGATACTTAATAAAAATATTACACTTTTTTTTAAAAGAAACTGAATGTTATTTATCAGCTGAAGAGAGTATCTGTCTTGAAATAACTTATTTTAATGGCCATATAACCGTATTCTGAGCAGAAAGCTAGATAACTTCTTTAACCATCTGCTTATTTTCTACTTTATAAATAATGTAGCAATTAACACTTTTGAACTCATAACCTTTTTCAAAGTTTGGATTATTTCCTTAAAATATATTCCTGGGAAGAGCAAATTTGATCAAAGGACATGAACATTTTTGAGTTTTTATTCACTGACAAATTGTTTCCCAAAGGTTTTAACTAATGCATTTTACAAACCATAAGCAATGTATGGCAATATATGTCTCTTTTGCTAATTTAATAGGCAATATTTGTAATATTAGTTTTAAATGTGCATTTAATTATTACTGGAGCTGAATTCTATCCTATCAATTACATATGTTTCTTCTTTGTGAACTGATAATTCATGTTTATCCATTAATTTACTATGATTATTGCTTTTCATATCACTTTTAATAAATTCTCTGTAAGGTCCAACACAGTAGCCATTAGCAGTATGTGGCTATTTAAGTTAAAATTAATAAAATAAAAATGTAGCTCTTGAGTTGCACAGTCACATTTTGGGTGCTAAACAGCCGTGGGTGGCTAGTGATCACCATATTAGTGCATATATAGAACATTTTCACTACCACAGAAAGTTATACTGTTCTAGATAATAAGATGTCACATACACTGCAAAGTTTACCAGTTTGTTGTAAGAAGGTCTCTGGATATGAAATTCAAACTATTGCTCATGATGTGAAGATACTGTTAGAGGATAAATTATATAGTCTAGTTCACACAAAAAGGTCAACCTGCTTGTAGAACCTTTATAAAAGCAAGCCAAGTTTCTCTTCAGAGGTAGAAAGTTACTTCTTTAAGAGACCATTACTAAGGTTTCAATACATTATAATCAGTCAGTTGCATAATTTCAGACCTAGGAGTTGCAGGTAAAGTTTGGGCAAAGGTATCTAGAAAAGATTTATAGGACAAAACAAGTAATATACATTATACTGAAAATTGTGTAACAAGCATATAAAACACATTCCCCAATTGTCCTTTGACATCAATACACTACTCATTCAAATAATCCTTTCTTGGGAATAACAAAAAGTGACAGAATAGTCTGGAAAGATTTGGTGGTTAAGAACATGGATTCTAGAGTCAGTATACCCAACTTCAAATCCAGCCCTGTCACTGATTACCTATGTGTTCCTGGAGAAATGTACTTAATCTATCTCCCTGGGACAATACAGGGTTATTGAAAGGATTAAATGGATTATTTAAAACGACCAGGCACCAGTAAACTCTCAGTAAGTGTTAAATAGTATTATATTTGATCTACCCTTACATCTTGATCTTATTTCTTTAAATTAAATGTGGGTGGACTCTAAAGTATAATCATCTCTCTAGTTTTAAGTATTTAAGGTAAAATAGTAAAAGTTAATGCTATCATAACATATATATTTACACGGTGCTTTAAGACTTCCTATACTTTCATATACTTCGTGTTGAATTACAACAAAAACAATTATAGGATTATCCTAGTTTTAATAGAATTAAATATAGCACTTAGAGCCAGCAACAAACAATGGAGCCTGACCATGTGTACTCTAGTGATCTTTTATCATAACAAAGAAGAGATAAAGTAGAAATAAGTTTATTGAAAATTTGATCAAACCTAGAATGACTGGTAACTTATTATGTGAAATTATTGTGGCTAAGAATCATAAGAAACCTCAATGTATACATTCTCCAGAACACTGAATGGCTGTTACAGGAAGACAATAAAGGCATTTAGAAAATGGGTTTAATTAACACAATGATTAAAACTCAGGGAACAAAACAAGAAGGGAGAGAGGCAACAATAATAGAGATGGAAGACTCTCAAAATAAACTAGAGTGTGCCGGATAAACTATTATAACACTAGTCAAATCTTATATGAATAATGTCAATTATACATTAATTAAAAAAACCCTTTATATAAACAAACTGGTATTACTATGTGACAAACTATGATACTCAGCTACAGATAATGTAATTTATAAGAGCCTGACACACAGTATTCACTTTAACATACATTTATTAAATAAATTACTAAATCATGAATTACCAAAACTCCAAGATTAGTCCAAGAAGTAAGGAACAAAAAAGGGTCTACCTTGTCAATAATTGACTGCATATGAGACTTGTGAGACTGGTCTCCATAAAGTAAAGAGGACCATTGGTCTGGTGCAATTCGTAAGCCTGCTTCCATGGCAATTTGCACTATCTGGGAGTCATGTTCTCGCCGCAAAGCTTCATAGGTTCTAAATTCTTCTTTTAGCTGCATCAAAGAAGAGTCTTCATCACGTTTGGTGACCTAGTAAGACACACATAATCTCATGAGTCAGGTAAGAAACAAAATGTGTTTATACTTTATATGAGCATATATAGAGAACAGATAATTTTTAATAACAAATTTAACAACAATAACAAGATTAAAATGGAACACACTGTTTTGCCTGTAAACCATTTCTGCCTTTAAAGACATCAAGATCTTGTGAATAGGTCTTATGGAAAGAATGAGTATGTGCTGGAGGAAAATCCCAAGATTGGATAGACCTTAACACATATATAGAGTTTAAACTGTATATGTGTAGATACGCATTTTTGAAAAGAAGAAAATACTCGAGGCACCTGTCTGGCTCAGCCAGTACAGCATGTGACTCTTGGTCTCAAGGCATGAGTTCAAGCCCCACACTGGATATGGAGCCTACTTCTTTATATATACATACATATGTACACACACACACACACACACACACACACACACAAATAAAGCAATGACTTAAAAAAAGGAAAGAAAATATGCAATTATCCTGGAAAAAAAACCCAATGTATGTTTCTTCTTCATAACTGTGGATTATTAAACTTGGGCTTGCCTGGCATTGAGCTGGCTAATACTCCTAAGTGAAAGAGCTTCAGTCAGATGCTTGTATGATTCTAAAGATGAATAATCTGTGCTTAGCTTAATTTTCCACAGAGTTTTGCAGGCTGGGCCACCATCAGAAAGTATAAAATAATAATGATGATAATATCTTTTAGTAATTAAAATGATTAACCCTTATTGAGCCCTTAGTATGTACTAGTCAGTGTGTTAACTTATTTACCCATCATACTGACATTAACTCATTTAATTCTCTAAACTTGTTGAGGTAGGTACTATTGTTATTTTTGCTATATTGCTACATTTTGAATCAAGCTGGGTTTAGGCCAAAGGCTCAAGAAATCAAAGTTGAATAATTTTTTTTTAAAGATTTCATTTATTTGAGATAGAGTGAGAGAGAGAGCGAAAGAGAGAGAGAGAGAGCATGAGCAGGTGGGAGGGGCAGAGGGAGAGGGAGAAAAAAGAAGGCTCTCCACGAAGCAGGGAGCCTGACGCAGGCATCAATCCCAGGACCCTAGGATCACGACTTGAGCCAAAGGCAGATGCTTAGCCAACTGAGCCACCCGGGTACCCCCAAAGTAAAATAATTAATTCTAGTTCAGGATCATCTGTATCCTAATATATTTCAGAATATATTTTACCTTGTTAACCTTTTATTCCCATAAAGACTCAAATTCCTCTAGTAGAAAATTCCCATTTTTTTCTTCCACCAAAGAAAACTACAGCAAGACTTCTAGGTCATCCTGATTATATTTTTAAATGTATTCCATTCTTATCAGAAGAAGGTCTAACTTAAATTTTGTCAGGTAAGTCCGTAAAAGACCAAATAGATAAAAAAAAAAAAAAAAAATCAAGAACTAGAGTCACAAAAACAAAAAATATCTTGCCACTATTCAAAGGCAAGTCAAAAGACCAAATGCATTATGTGGATGTATAAAAACACCCTCTCAATATAGGCTAAACCTTATTAAAATGTAGAATGTTTTCTATAAGATATACTAGGGTTCTCTGGCCTTGGTTCTCAAAACTGTCTTTTAACTAAAAACAGTCAAAGATTTCTAAGAGATGCATGTCTAAAGTAAGTCCTGGAACTATACTGTACTAAGAAGGACCAGAATTATCCCTGTCTGAAAAGGTTTTCCTTTAAAGATTTTATTTATTTATTTATCATGACCTGAGCCAAAGGCAGACACTTAAGGACTGAGCCACCCAGGCACCCCTGAAAAGGTTTTTCAAATGGAAATAAAAGAGATGCTAAAAGGATGCAGCCAGAACACGGCTATGTGGACACATACAGCTATAAGGAAAAATGGAAAATGCCTACCGATGTGACTTCCACAAAGAAATGAAATAGGTATTGGTAGATACTTAACAGAAACTCTGCCATGGTGAGTAAAATTTAGGGTATGGACCTATTGTGATGAGAGAAGATAAGTCTTCTCATGATGGAGATTGTAGGACACATTACCAGCAAGAGAAGAAAGCAGGTAGACAATGAAATAAAGGGAAATAATCATGACCCAAATGAAAAATAATTGGATTTTTACAAATTTCCAATCTCTTTTCAATTACTATTAATGCTTTTAATTAGGATTGAGAGAGGTTCACTGTGGGTATTCTGGGATTTTTGGACTAATTTTTCACAGGGGGAGGATGGATTTCCTTTTCTTTCCTTTTATTTATTTTTTATTTTATTTTATTTTTTTTTAAAGATTTTATTTATTTATTTGAGAGAGAATGAGAGAGAGCACATGAGAGGGGGGAGGGTCAGAGGGAGAAGCAGACTCCCTGCCGAGCAGGGAGCCCGATGCGGGACTCGATCCCGGGACTCCAGGATCATGACCTGAGCCGAAGGCAGTCGCTTAACCAACTGAGCCACCCAGGCGCCCTCTTTCCTTTTATTTTTTAAGCTTGCAATATTGTATCTGTCTGGTGCTGTTATTAGAGAAAAAAGAACTCTGGAAGCAGACAGACATTCTGAAGTATATTCCAGATTACACTGTACAATCATGTTATTATAATCATTACAACAAATGTGAGTTATTTGGGGACAATCTGAACTAGCTGGGAGTTATTTTGGCTAGAGTTTCTGACAGTTCCAGAGGTACCTAAGGCCAAGGACAGGGTTGGGTACAGACCTGGAGTGCACACCTCATTTTCATTATATATATAATCTGACTCTAGAAAGAAACATCATAATGTGGGCATTTAGTTATAGAGCTTTAAAATTTTTTTAAAAATTAAATTGGTATGCTTTTGGGGCACGTGGTTAAACGTCTGCTTTCAGCTCACTGAGCCCCAGGTCAGGCTCTCTGCTCAGCGGGGAGCCTGCTTCTCCCTCTCCCTCTGCCTGCCACTCCCCCCGCTTGTGCTCTCTCTCTGTCAAATAAATAAATAAGATCTTAAAAAATATATAAATAAACTGGTATGCTTTCCTGTTGATTTTGTAAACCATTCTATCTTTCTCAGGAAATGAGAAAATAAACTATAGTAGACTGTAGGATTTTTTAGTTTGAGTGTCAGATGAGGGGACATGGTGACCCAGGAATGGATATCCTTATAGTTTGTATGAATTAAAAAATTTTTAGAGGCATGCCTTCCTGGTCCATGAAGTACTAGTTATGTGTGTGTCAGAAGCAAGAAGCCTTGACATTAAGAAGTCAGGAAAACAGGATGAATGATAAATGATACACAGTGAGCACTGATGTTTGAAGCAGTGCTGATTCAATTTGGGATACAAAAGAATATGTGCATTACTATATATACTGAAAATGAAATGGCAAATGAACTCCAGTACTCTATATGTGGAATTACAGCAGGAGCAAAGAGCAAAATGAAACTTCTTGCTTCAATTACTCTCTGTTCAGACCAATTCTGCATATGGTCTTGGTGAAAAAAATGACACAGCTTATTAGACTCTTCAAATATAAAAATCTATAAACCTTAGCTATGTTGTTCAATATCTAATATACAAAACTTAATATAACAAGTTCTAACTTTAATAGGACACCATTTACATTCTTTTTATTTATTTTTTTTACATTTTTGAAAAGAAAAAAATTATTGAAATTTTCTGAGGGGCAACTTTATTAAACTCAATGTTTTACTACTTAAGTTTGGGAAAAAGACAATGTTTCCTTTTAAGCTGAAATTTAACATTAGTTCATACCTTGAAGCAGGAAGCTCTATAAAGGAGCTGGACAACATGCCCAATGCTAGTTTTAGAGGCCTGAGGAAACCGCGGCTCCAACCTTTGCACCACAAAGAGAACCAATACTTTTCTTGACAAAGCAGAACCATCTTCCAAGGCCAGGAGAACCAGCTTTAAAGCTTCCTCCTGCATTGCTAGGAAAAGTTAGGCAAAACCAAAATTTATCACGTACAAAGGTAAGATAAATTTATTTATCAGAAGGGCAATGTTTAATAATTTCTGCAGGTACCACTCGATGGGCAACACAACACAATAACACATATTCAAAGTTACACTTTCTAAACATTCTGGGGCAATTTTATATTACACTCTGCATATTTTATTTAAGAAAGCAGATAAAAAATTAATACATTCAAGAAAAACCTCTAACAAACTGAAAACTTTTAGCACTGAGAAAAGTTTTACATGGTCTAAAATACTGACATGGAATTACCGAAGCCATGACTGTCAAGTGGGATATTTCTTGGTAACAACAGAATACTACAAAGAACTAGACTTTGTACATCACATTTATAGTTCTTAACACCATACTTTTAGAATTACTAGTATAGTAAATATCAAACTTTAATCACATACCTGGTCCAAGGAACTGGCAGCCCCTAGCCCTGACTGCTGCCCAAAGATTAGAGGAGAGTTGCTGAGGATTCTGGTGCTGAAGAATGAGCTCTGTAACTGTTCGTTCACCTAAAGATCGAGCTGCTCTCATAGCACGAATCCTGCCTTCTTCTTCCACTAGTTGGCAGTGGACCAGCGTCACCAGCTTCCTCTGCATTGGGCGACTCAGAACACTCTGAGTAGTGCTATTCAGACCCACTCCTTTAAAAGAGAGTGAAAGGTTATTTCTAGGTTTACAATGCAATTTTAGAGTCCAGAAAAACTTCCTCTGATGGGCTGACTGACTTACGCATACATGAATAGTTCCCAGTTCTACCAGAATGTTTAAAATAATGGATAAAATTATATAAAGCCTAGTTTGCTTTTAAAAGTATACAAAAGCTGTTATCTCATGTAAATATAACACTCATTACATTAAATATATCATTATTCATCATAACCATGGAGGAAAAAGGGGAAAAGGCCAGACAACATTAATAATTAAGACTCAAATCTTGAGGTCCTAACAGTTATGGCACATTATTTCATAATGGTTAATTTTACCTTCCTAATGAAATAATAAGCCATAATGGCAAGGCAATTAAGGGCAACTTCCAATTTTATTTCACTCCCTATGGCACACCATATAAAACTGAATAGAAGGCAGACAATCCAGAGTTGTCAAATGATGGAGAGCCCTTCTGAAACCACTAGTATATTCACTTAGTTTTGCAACTCATTCAAATGTTTTCAACATCACATAAACTCTAAATTCACTTATTTATGTGGTTTGTAATGATATTATTTAGTGTTTGTGGGTTTGATTTACAATAAATAAGTGAATTTCATTAGCATTCACTTAGAGCCCACAATTTTTTTAAAGATTTATTTATGGGGTGCCTGGGTGGCTCAGTTGGTTAAGTGTCTGCTCTGGCTCAGGTCATGATCCCAACGTCCTGGGATCCAGTCCCATGTCGGGCTCCTTGCTCAGTGGGGAGCCTGCTTCTCCCTCTCCTCCCCGCTTGTGCTCTCTATCTCTGTCGCTCTCCCTCAAATAAATAAATAAAATCTTAAAAAAATATATAAGTACAATAAAATATTTATTTATTTTAGAGAGGAGGGGCAAGGACAGAGAGAAAGAGAAACTCAAACTCTGAGCTGAGCACAGAGTCTGACAGGGCTCAATCCCGTGACCCTGAGATCATGACCTGAGCCAAAACCAAGAGTCAGACACTTAAATGACTGTGCACCCAGGTTCCCCCATAGCCCACAATTTTTATGATAATAAAAACATCTTTAATAAACATGTTTAGCATAGATAGTTGCATCTGATTTACCTCTAGCACTGCTGAGTGGTTTCAGGTACAATGCTAACTCTTCTACACATTTCTTGGCTTCCTCATAATGCTTTGTATCTTCAACCCCACTACACAAAGTAATGGGCTGCTGCTCCGGGACCTTGAGGTCAAAAGAAAAGGTCTGTATGAGTACTCATTAATTAAATGTTTGATTGAGTATATTTTATGCACTGCTACTCTAACTGTGGTAACATCAAAGCTCCCACTAAATTTTTTGAATTCTTCCAAAGGCCTTTTCTATACTAACACATAAAATTTAATGCATTATTTTGGTTTTGTAATAGCTTTACTGAAATATAATTTGCATACCATATAAGTGACCCATTTAAGATATACAATTCAATGGTTTTTAGTATATTCATAGTTGTGCAACCATAACCACAATTTTAGAACATTTTCATCATCCCTCCAAAGAAGGCCATACTTTTTTAAGTCTCCCCTCCCATATTTCCTTCCAACTCTCCACCAACCATAGGAAAACACTGATCTATTTTCTGTCTCTATGGAGTTGCCTATTTTGGACATTTCACATTAACAGAATCATAGATTCATATAGTAACTTCCAAAGTGGCTATACTATCTTTTATTTTCACCAGCCATTTCACCAAATGAGTTCTATTGGTCCACATTCTCACCAGCATTTGGTATTGTAAGTGTTTTGGATTTTAGCTATTCTAATTGGTGTGTAGCAGAATCTTGTTGTTTTAATTTACAATTCCTTAATGACAAATATGTTGAGCAACATTTCATTTGCTCATTTGCCATTTGTGTATCTTCTTTGGTGAGGTGTCTATTCAGATCTTTTCCCATTTTAAAATTATGTCCTTTTTATTACTGAGTTCTCAGAGTCTTTAATATATCCCAGACACAACTTCCTTTCAGATATATGAGTTACAATTACTCTCTCCCATTCTGTGAGTTGTTCTTTCACTCCCTGATGGTGTCCTTTGAAGCACAAAGTTTTAAGTCTTGATTTAGTTCAATTTATCTTTTATTCCTTGTGCTTTTCATGTCATATCTAAAAAAAAACCACTGCCTACTCTAAGATCATGAAGATTTATGCTTGTATTTTCTTTTTTTTTTTTTTTTAAGATTTTATTTATTTATTTGACAGCGAGAGAATTAGCGAGAGCCGGAACACAAGCAGGGGGAGTGGGAGAGGGAGAAGCAGGCTTCCTGCTGAGCAGGGAGCCCGAAGCAGGGCTCGGACCCTGGAATCATGACCTGAGCCGAAGGCAGACGCTTAACGGCTGAGCCACCCAGGTGCTCCATGCCTGTATTTTAAGAGTTCTGTAGTTTTAGCTTTTGCATTTAGCCTTTGGTTCATTTTGAGTTAGTTTTTGAATATGGTGTGAGGCAGGGTCCAAATTCATTCTTTTGCATTTGGGTATCCAGTTTTCCCAGCACCATTTCTTGGAAAAACTGTCCTTTACTCAATGAATGTTCTTGGCAACATTGTCAAAAATAATTTCATATGTGTGTATTTATCTCTGGGCTCTGTTCTATTCCATTGATCTACATGTCTGTCTTTATACCAGTACCACACTGTCTTGATCACTGTAGCTTTGCAGCTTCAAAATCTGGAGTGTGATCCCTCCAACTTTGCTCTTTTTCAAGATTGTTTGGCTATTTGTGGTCCATTCTGATACCATATGAATTTTAGGATGGTTTTTGTTGTTGTTGTTGTTTCTGCAAAAAGAACCACCACCATTGGGAGTTTGATAGAGCTTGCATGGAATTTGTAGATTGCTTTGGTTAGTACTATGATCTTAACAATATTAAGTCTGCCAATCCATTAACACACAATGTCTTTCTATTTATTTATGTCTTCTTTAAATGTCTTTCAGCAATGTTTTGTAGTTTTCAGTACATAAGTCTTTCGCCTCCTTTATTAAACTTATTCCTAAGTATTTTATTATCTGGTGCTACTGTAAGTGGATTTGTTTTCTCAATTTCCTTTTGGATTGTTCATTGCTAGTGTATAAAAACACAACTAATGTGTTGATTTTGTATCCTGCAACTCTGCTTAATTCATTTATGAACTCTAACAGCTTTTTAATGGAAATCTTTAGAGTTAAAATAGTGGCTACTATATATTAAAATGCCCTATCCTTGTTCCTCAGAATGTTAAAAATAGAACTACTCTACGATCCAGCGATTGCACTACTAGGTATTTACCCACAGGATACAAAAATACAGATTCTAAGGGATACATACACCCTGATGTTTTATAGCAGCATTATCAACAATAGCCAAACCATGGAGAGAGCCCAAATGTCCATCGACTGATGAATGGATAAAGAAGATGTGGTATATATACAATGGAATATTACTCAGCCATCAAAAAGAATGAGTTCTTGCCATTTGCAATGACATGGGTGGAGCAAGAATATATTATGCTAAGTGAAGTCAGTCAGAGAAAAACTACCATATGATCTCACTCATGTGGAATTTAAGAAAGAAAAAAGATGAACACATGGGAAGGGGGAAAAGAAAAAAGGAAAGAGGGAAACAAACCATAAGAGACTCTTAACGATAGAGAACAAACTGAGGACAGATGGAGGGAGGTGGGTGGGGGATGGGCTAGATGGGCGATGGATATTAAAGCAGGGCACTTGTTATGAGCAGTTGGTGTTGTAAACAAGTGATGAATCACTGAATTCTACTCCAGAAAACAATATTGTACCATATGTTAACTAAAATTTGAAAAAATAATAAAATGTCCTATCCTCAAATACAGACATTAGTTGTTTCAGTTAAGATATAACAAGGTCTTACTCATTTTGTAGAAAGAGTTAGTTCATCTTTAGACAATTTTATGAAAAAAAGTAAGCCTTGGTTATTTGCTATTATAATAGTATATTTCTAAAATTATTACCCTTAGTAAGTCTATTTTTTAAATGTTTCCAAACTATCATAGTGGGATTTTCAAAATAAAGAGAAATGATTATGAAATAAAAATTAAGTACAAGAAGCAAAAGGATCTATTGCACTTTCCCTTTTGACAAATATTTTGTAGTGTTGTTGGTGACATCACAAAAGAGGTTTAAAAAAAGTTTTCCTTTTGAATAAGCTATTCTCGAACTGCTCTCTTCATTTCCAACATACATAATATCAACCTTTCCTACATTTTAGCAGCCTATATCAAGACTGATCGGGCGCCTGGGTGGCTCAGTTGGTTGAGCGACTGCTTTCGGCTCAGGTCATGATCCTGGAGTCCCTGGATCGAGTCCCGCGTCGGGCTCCCTGCTCGGCAGGGAGCCTGCTTCTCCCTCTGACCCTCCCCCCTCTCATGTGCTCTCTCTCTTTCATTCTCTCTGTGTCAAATAAATA